GTAGCTAGGATTACAGGTATGAGCTGCCAGAGCCTAGCTTTTTTTTTTTTTTTTTTTGAGACAGGGTCTCACTATATAGTCTAAACTGCCCTTGAACTTGAGCTCCTCCTGCCTTAGCCTCCCAAGTGCTGGGATTTCAGATGGGTATCACCATTCTTGACTTGGATAGTACACATTCTTCTGACAGCATCCAATCCCGAAGAAAGCTTCACTTCCTTGACCTCTCTCCCAAATCACCAAACCTAAGTTCAAACCCCAAGTCCTCTTTAACACTTCCTTGCTGGATGTGCCCCAGTTCTTCCATGGTGTGTGTTTTTGTTAAAATGAGTCAGTAAACACCCAAATTTGTTCAACTAAAGGCATCTAAGGGTGGCCATTGGTTGGAGGGCATTGACAATGAAGAACAAGGAGTGGGTATACTTGTGGGATTTCTTTAGACTACAAACTCCTCTATCTTGGAATCTAGAATGCTGATTTCCCTCCTAATTATGTTCTCAGGCAAACTGCTCCATCCCCCTCTCTGGTCTGCTCTCAGAGATGGACTGATTCTTCAGTCCTTGGCTGTGCTCAGCACCTCCCTAAATTCATAGTCCTCCCTCACCAATCTTATATTTGAATTGAGGCCTGGATGAAACCACCATCTTCCATCACCTAACCAGACTACTGCTCTTGGTCTTGGCTGCCCACGGGCTTCTTGTGCATCTGCCCTGTGTAAACCCCTCTAAAGGCAGTGGCTGGCTGCATCTCAACAACTCAGTCACTTGTAGTGCATGCTTCAGCTAATATACCAGCAGCCAAAAGCTCAGGTGTTCCCAGGTGCCAGGGGCCAGAGACCCCTGAGATCATGAGAAAGTTATGGATTCCCACTGCAGAGTGTGGCTCTTGAGTCATATAAGGGAGGAGGAGAATGGACTTGGCCCTGCCAGGCTCCTGGGAGACAAAGGTGGCAAGGTGCCTGGTTGCTTTTTGCAAAAGTCCCTAGGCAGAGAAAGTACTGGGCTTTCTCTTTCTCTTTCTCTGCTAAGAGGGTGAATTTTAATTTGCTACCATCCTGAACATCTTTTGTGTATTATGCCACTGTCCCAGATAGAGACCTTATCACAGTAATCAGAACCAAAAAAAAGATAAGGCAGTTCTGAGCTTTAAGCATGGGGTACTCATACACACATGCACACATGTTCACCTAGAAGTTTTTAACTGTGTTCCCTGAGGCTCATCCCTTGGAGGTACCCAAGGAGGGGAGTGGAGGTTGGGTGAGGTTTTATGTTCTGTCTTCTTTGTGTTCTGAGATTCTGCATAAGATTTAGTTTGTAAAAGAGGTTATTCTGTGTAAAGGACAGCACTGGAGATACAATCAGCAAAATCCAGAATGCTGTAGAACACTGCAGAATGAACAAACCTGTTTTTTCAAAAAATAACTTGCAAGTAAAAAAAAATTTGTCTTTTTAATGAAATAAAAGCTTTAGTTAAAGTCAATGTGTGGACCATGTTTAGATTCTGATTTGAATAAATCGAAGTATGACACAATTGGGAAATTTTTAACACGGACAGGTATTTGGAGATTTTTCAGGAAGTTAAGCAATTTATTTTTAGTTGTGAAAACTGTGATGTGGTTATGTAAACAAAGAGTTTTTTTCTTTCAGAGATGACTACTTAAATGTCTATGGATGAAATGATATGGTGTCTAAAATTTGTTTTAACATCACCCAGCACAGGAGGGGTGGGAGAGTTAAGTGGATGGGGCTAGAGACAAATCAAGGTTATGATGATAATTGTTGGAGCTAGGTGATGGGTACATGGGGGTTCCTTGTGTTATTATTTCCGTAATTCTATTCTATCTGTTCTACTCTGCTCATCTAATGTTTTTGGGAATGGAACCCCTGGCACGGTGCCTGCTAGGCAAGCAAGCACTCTACCACTGAGCTACACTGCCAGTCCCTATATCTTTTAAGTGTTTGAACATTTATACAAGAAAAAAACTTTAAAAAATAAGTTAAAGGAGACGGTATAGCACAAGCCCTGGATTCAAACTCTGATACTGCCAAAAAAAAAAAAAAGTAAGAAGTTATCAACATATAATTCACATGCCATACAGTTCACTAACTTAAACCCCTGATTCGGTGGCTTTGCCCTCATCCTCCATTCCCTCCAAGCCCTAAAGCCCTAAGCAACCACTAATCTACTTTCTTTCTCTTTGGATTTGCCTATACTTTACATCTCACATAAGTGGATCATACAGTATATTGTCTTTTGTGACTGGCTTCTTTTACCTTAGCATAATGTTTTCAAGTATAGCCTTGTTTTAAACTGTCCTTGTTTTAACAGAGAAGCGCCATCTTATAACTGCATTTCTTTTGTACAGAGTTTTAAATAAAGATACTTGAAAGAGATTTAAACAAAGTTGGGGGAGGAACCTAACTGCTACAAAGGGTTAAAAAAAATCCCTTCTCTTGTTAGACATCTCATGTTACCTTCAAGGAAACAAGGGATCAGAGAGGAAAGTGACTGACCCAAGGACACAAAGCTTAAGGGAAGAGACGGGGCCAACATCTACACCTGCTGAACTTTGGCTCCATCCTCTTTTACTGTTGCCATGTTGATTCCTGATCTCACACACACACACACACACACACACACACACACACACGCAACACCTTCCCCATCACAACTCATAAACACGCAACCCTCAGAACTGAGCATGGTGATGCACATCTTAATCTCACCCAGTGGGAGGCTGAGGCAGGAGGATTGTGAGTTTGAGGCCACCCAGGACTGCAGAGCAAGAAACTGTCTCAAAAACAAAAGAAAAAGCAGAACATGAGTTCAAACCCCAGTCCCACAAAAACAAAACAAATAACTGAGCCAAATAAACAAACAAATGTGACCTCAAGGTCTCTTTGGAGACATCTTGAGACACAGCCATGGTGGAGGCTGCTGTGCACCACAACTCAGACTTTCTGCTGCCTGACACTGACATGAGGCCTCATAGGGAAAAATCAGAGTTGGCACCAGCTCCCAGAATTTCTACCTCGGAGGAGCTCAGGAATGGCAGTCTTGTTAGAAGCCAGAGGACACTATCTGCACAGCAGGAGCAGTTTTACTTGTATTGACTGTTTATTTGGAGTGGCTGGTGGAGGGTGTGTGTGGAGGGGAAGGCTGGGAGAGAACATGGGGACAAGGATAAAACCTTTGAGGTTGCGGTTGGAGGGAACCCATTTAAGGGTTAATAGCATGCACAGGAACTCTACTGGTGCTTCTGGAACTATGTCCAGATGAGACAGAAAGTGGGCAACGGGCAGGCACAGAAGAAAAAGGTCAAGCTGAGGGGAAAGACTCCAGGTTGAGGCAGTCTACAATTTATAGCCATTCTGGAACTCTTCCAAACCACTCTTATGGGCAGTTCAGAGAAGCTGTCAGGATGCCGAAAAGGGCAAGAACAGGACAAATTCCATAGATAGAACATTATCTGAAGACTGAGGATGAGGCATGGGGGAAGGTAAAGGGAAGAAACTTCCAAAGGGCCTGGGAGAGGAGGATACGCAGCCTGGAGGTTCCTGCAGACAATTCCATCCCTGGAAGTGGACGAGTAGGAGCTGGGCAGAGGGTAGTGCAAGTCCAGGTCCCAGAGCCCACCAACAAGCAGCTTGGACTTAGAAACTACACAGTAGACTGGAGGCACACTGGCTATGCTACATTCTCAAATTAACTTCCACTCTTCCATCTATAGTGGGCACTGGAAATCTCACTCTTAGACATCTGTTCTTTTGGGTTGGGGAAGCCTTTGAAACATCTTCTGTTATAGGCAAATTGTCCCTGAGTGGAACAGCAATAACTGTGAATTAAGAGTAAAGCTGAGAAGGAACAAGAACCAGGGAGTGCTCCAGGGGTGCTGGCCTGTCAAGGTGAAGGGTTAAAGACAGTCCCTGGATTGCTCTCAAATTTCCTCAAGACTGGTCTTCCTTCAGTCCCCACTCTCATGGAGGCCAAATTTGGGCTGCTTTGGGTGCTGGATAGTCAGTGGCTTATATGAGCTGTGAACATCCATGATTCTGTCTAGTGGAGAGGGCCCCGAAGATGTGAGGGCCCTGAGAGGCAGCGCAAATAGGCAGTTGGGTATCTTATCCCCAATCTTAGATTGCCCTCCAGCTTCTAATCCCAAAGGCCCACAGGCCCTGTCTTCTAGACTGGACTTTAACCAGATGACACACATTAGTGTGTGTCAGGTGGTGTCAACCTAGAACTAGACCTGCACCTGATTCATCCAGGAAGCTGAATCCAGGTTGTGAACAAGCACCTTTAACCAGCTCCAGTTAGGTCTGGGGTGAAAGCTGTGTGGCCAATAGACAGCCGCTTTATTTTGTTCTCTTCCTCTCTCCCATCTCCACTTGCCTGGACTCCCTCATTCCTTTCTCTCTGCTTTGGGCAGGAGCTGTGTTTTGTTTCATTGATTTGTTTGTTTTGGCGAAGGTGATTTCTGAGGAAGGGACTTGTACTTCAAAAGGGGACATCAAGAGCTGATATTAGGAGGGAAGCCAGAAGTGGGAATTGGTTTGGATAGGAATTAAATGGAACAAAGGAGTCAGAGGTCTCTGGGGTCACCCCTTCCCTACCCTGGATGCCACCTACCTATAGTTTTGGCAAGTCTTGCCCTTTTCCTGGAACAGCCTTACAACTTTAGCTTGATGTCACTTTCTGTTTCCATGGCTAGCTTATGTTTTTTGACACTAACTGGTGAACACTCAAGGTTATTTAACTTTGCTTCAAGTCCCCTCCTACTTCCTAATACAAATACAAAATAGCGTGGGAATCCCCTTTTGAGGAGGAAGCAACCGTGCAGCTTTAAGAGAAATGGGAGGAAGAGGGCGCTGACTCAGAGCCTCTTACTATTGGCTGCTGGAGGAGATTCCACCTCAGGGATTGGCCACGGCAGGGTCCGCCTCCTCTTGTGATTGGATCAGCTAAGGAAATATAAGGGAGTTGTGCCGGCCTGCTCCTCAGTTGGGAAGAGGCAGGGAATCTGGCTAAGTCGGTGTGCTGAGACCCACTTGGCACGAAGCCCCCCCTCTTCTCTGAATCGAAGTCCTAGCCCCACCGAGGCTGAAGCCATGAAGGAGAGACGGGCGCCCCAGCCTGTGGTGGTCAGATGCAAGCTCGTGCTGGTGGGAGATGTGCAGTGTGGGAAGACAGCGATGTTACAGGTGCTAGCGAAGGACTGCTATCCCGAGGTGAGATGCTTTCCTGCCCGCCTTCCTCCCTGCTCGCCCGCCCAGGGTCGATTCCCACCTGCCCCGGACAGCCATCTCCTCCTCTCCCAGTCCGCCCCACCTCGGCTGCTTTCTGGCTGGAGCACTGCCCAGCCTTAGCTTCCCCTGAGACCTGTCCCACTTCTGCCGCCCCGCCGGCTCCTCCTCACCTCTTCACCCATCAGATCCTCTCCTACTTTCTCCTTCATGGCTGGGTCGCTCTCAGGAGAGGGAACTGAAAGCACTGGAGAGTCTGGGGTTTCTTTTTGACATATACTGCCGGCCCTTCGCCTCTGCTACCCCTTTCCGTTTTTCACCTGGGCCAAGGGGCTTGAGGGCAGAAAATGGAAGTTAGAATTGAATTGTGGCTCTGAAATTGGGAAGGGGTGAGAAGAAAATGTGTATTTATATGTCTCTGATCATCTAGGATATGGGGGCTCCTCCGTGGCTGGGGAGTCATTTCCATTTCTTCAGTAGAGCAAAGTGCCTGTCCCACGTGGTCTCTTCTGCCCCATGTATCCCCTCCTTTGGCCCTTATCACCTGTCACTTTAATGTCTCAGAGGGTACATGAGTGACTTATGTGTAGCCAGAAATAAAGAGGGTTCTAAGGGGAGGGGTGCCCAGGTGTGAATGCCACCTCTCTTCTCACAGACCTATGTGCCTACTGTGTTTGAGAATTATACAGCCTGTTTGGAGACAGAGGAACAGAGAGTGGAGCTTAGTCTCTGGGATACCTCAGGTAAGACTATGGTCCCCAAAGCCCGTTTCCTGTCTCCACTGGTCAGCTGTACTGCTGTCTTTTTAAAATTGTTTCCCCTTTGGTGAGGAGGAGAAAGGTGCTTGCCTGGAAACACAAAGAGAGGATCTGAAGATGCTTGGTTTGGGAGGGGTGGTGTCGGTCAACCCTGATTGTCCAGGAATGCAGAGGAATGAAGCACAGAGGACACTCACTTCTTTGGTCTAGTCCCATCTTTAGAGGGCTGGAATGGTGAAGCATAGAGACCTATATTAGTATTCCAGGAACAGGGTTTCTCCATTTCCACTCCCTGCTACCCAGTACACACACACACACACACACACACACACACACACACACACACACACACACTTTCCCAGAGCAAAGTTAAATGGGAGGTAGTAGGTAGTGCTGCTAGAGGCCGTTGTGGTGGGGCCGGGAAACCAGCCTTCTTTGGGACAAATATGCTCTCCTGCATTCCATCTCTGGCTACTGCTGTCTGCCTGCCGCAACTTAGCTCCACTCATCACACCGCTGCAGCTCAGGGATGAAGCGATGCACCATCCAGTGTTTTGGAGGGTGGGGGAAATGGCTAATATAGGGCACGGGCATGTTGTGGATGGTGGCTGATAGGGTTCGGGAGATGGTTCTAATGGACTGTTTCCCTTGACTGGGATGAGGTAGAAGATGCTCTGTCTTTGGAGAATGTAGAAAGCAGTGTTTTCTCCAGGCTCTCAGCCCCAAACCCTTAAAGCTCAGCTAGTCTTTGCTTTGATTCTGAGCCCTTCCCATTATCTTTCCCCAAGTCCTTTTAAAAAGCAGACTGGCTCACGATCATAATTAAGGAGAAAGAAAAATAAAATCCGTGCCTTGCCAAAAAAATGCACCTTGGGGCTGAGTTTAAAGGGAAACTAAATCACTAGGCGTTTCCTGTTATATGAAATAAATATGCTGCCCTACTCCTCCAAAGAGCTGTTGTTCTCATGCTCCAATTTTGAGGTCTAAAAAGGTTGGGGGTAGGGGATGGGGAGACAGAAAATGAGACTTCCTCTGCTTCCCACCCCCAACAAAAGTTCCTCAAGCCAACGTGCCTTCCTCTGCTGCAGTTCCAGGGGTGGGAGGCACCATTCCCGTTACCCTGGGTGCTGGCTGGTTCCCACGAGAATGCAGCGTGGCTGCATGATGTATGGTTTTTCTTCAGCTGTACCTTCCCACCTCCCAACCTTCCCAGAGTCTTACTGCAGCTCATCTCTTTTCACTACCACCACCCCAAACCCCCACTACTTCCTCTCTCCTCCCACAGTCAGAATGCAGCCCTCCAGGCCCCAACCCCATAATGGAAAATCAGCAAGTGTGGTCTTTATACCTCCTGTCACACCCCACCTCCTAATTTCCGAAAGGATGAAGTCTATCAGTTATCCTCAGACTCCCTCTTTCAAATTAGGTTCCCATAAGGTCTGAGGAAGTGGCAGTGATGTGTAGGATAGGGCTTTTCTGCCTTGGAGCCAGGATTGAACCTGTTTCCATTATTCACTAGCTGGTCTTAGGGGAGGGGGATCGCTTGGAGCCAAAATGGAGACCTCCTCTCCTCCCCCTTCCCCAGTACCACAGTGCTCCCTTTGCCCCAGTGCTGCTGTGATCAGACCCCCCACCTTGCCTTATAAAGGGGCAGGGGTGGATCGCTGAAGGAGCAGGCAGCTATCCCAACTCCCCCTTACTTTTTTTTTTTTATGACGGACACCCCCACCCCAGCTTGGATTCCCCCCAGTTTCCATGGCGATTGCGGTGCAGGGAGAGGGGCTGCTTGCTATTCTGAGCACGGATTGTCTGGGTTCCAAATCCGCTACTGCTCCTTCCCCAGGGTGGAGGGGGGCAGGCTCAGCTCCTAGCCTTTGCCCCTCTCAGACCCTGGGTCTGCCTTGCCTGCTCCCTTCACTACAAAGGACCCTTGCTTTAGGTTCTAAGTTCCTGTCTAGGGGTGCTGCTGTCTTTGAGATTGTCTCCCTGAGATCCTAGGGGTGGGGGCTCCAGCCTTCCCTTTGCCCTTTTTAGGATAAGCTGATTAGGATGGGTGGGGGAGTTGGGGCACTGAATCCTGGATGCCCTTCCTCTCTGCCAACCTCCTACAGTTCTGACCCCATGGTAAAGAAGCAGGGTAGCCAGTTATGTAACAGGCAGGTTTGTTTCTTCATTGGTGAGACCCTGGAGCTGAGGTCAGCAGGCAGACTCTTAAGAAGGGAAAACCTTCAACTAGCCCTGGTCTCCTCAGGAGTTGGGAACATCTTTGAGTACTCAGAAAACCACTAGACTTTCAATTAAGCCCACTGTAGGAGCCCTGGACAGGATCATATTATACTCTATCCTCTTTTATTTTTCCCTCTTCTCCTTTCCAGGACTAAGGGAGATGATATTCCTTGCACAGCCTCTGGCAGGTCCCAAATTTCCATGTGTAGCATAGCCCCCTGGGAGGAGGCTGGATCTTATGGGATCAAGAACAGTATTCTAAAGGCTCCTTGGGCATAGGCCTATAGAGAAGGGAAAATGCCATGGCTCACCATCAGCTCTCTTTCTTCCCTCCACCAGGATCTCCCTACTATGACAATGTCCGTCCGCTCTGCTATAGTGACTCAGATGCAGTATTACTATGCTTTGACATCAGTCGCCCGGAGACCGTGGACAGTGCACTCAAGAAGGTAAACTACTATCTCTAACCTAGCAGGAGAGCAAAAAGGAATCTTGGGGGGTCTGTTCTCTAATCCGCTTATGTACCATCAAGAGACTGAGGCCAGGGAGGGAAAAGATTTGTCCAAGTCCACACCATTAGCTACACCTCTGAGAATAGAATCCAGGTCTCCTTCCCCTCTGCCTTCTGCCCTTTCCATTATTTTATAGTGTTTTTTCCAGCAAGGGAGGGTGGTGGTGAAGACTCAGGAGGCAAAGGGTTCAGCATCAGAGAACCTTCTGGTTATGTGGTTTGAATGTCAGGAATGGACCATTTGGAGGCAGCCTTTGTAGACCTTGATTCCAGGTCCACTGAACCAGGCAGGTCAGAGCTGAACTGTTAGTAGAAAACACCTGGGTGGGGGTGGCAAGATTTGCCTACCCTGAGGAACTTCAGGGAACCTTCTGGAACTAGCCTAGCTTTCCAGAAGGCTTAGTTTATGTCCTCTCTTGGGAAGAGATCAATTGGCTTTCCCCTCGCATTCTGGATTTGTGAGGCCTTTGACTGGGGTGAGGGCAGATCCATGCCCTCTCTGCGTGGCAGGGAGTAGGAGGGGTCTTGCCCCTGTGTTCTGCTTGATGACTGGGCTGTTGCTCAAAGGGACAGGCTCCTGGGTCAGCATACTGGTGCCACTAAAGGCCTCATGGGCAGGAAGATGATGTAATTAGTACAGCAGAGATGCTGTGACTCAGAGGGAGGACTGGGCTGGTGATAATCTGGGTGGTGTGCAGATGTTGCTAACTGGGCTTCTCTGGGTATCTGTCTGCCACTGACTTTCCTCCCTTTCCCCTTTCCATCTTCCTGCTTGGCCCCTCAGTGGAGGACAGAAATCCTGGATTATTGTTCCAGCACCCGTGTTTTGCTTATTGGCTGTAAGACAGACCTGCGAACAGACCTGAGCACTCTGATGGAGCTGTCCCACCAGAAGCAGGCACCCATCTCCTATGAGCAGGTGTGTGTGTGTGTGCTTGCATGTGCTGGAGAAGGCAGCAGGCAGAGGGCCTAAAATACGACTCTTGCTCAAACTCTATCACTATGGCAAGAAAGAATTGGTGTTAGTGGGTTTATCTATAATTAACAAACTAGTTCCCTGGATACAGGTAGTGGGTACCTGTCTACACATGTGTATGCTATAGATTAGCAGGTGAGCTGTTCCTGTGTGTGCCAGCATTTCTAAATTTTTTATGTGTGTGTGTGTGGAATACCTGCACTAGAATCTAGAAATGCTTGTTAGAGCTGGGTGTGGTAGGTGGAAATAGGAGAACCCCGACAACCTGGGCTATACAGTGAAACCTGACTCAAAAAAACCCAAATACCAAACCAAACCAAACAAAAAGAACTGCTTGTTAGAATTTTGTATTGCTGGCTCTGTGTCTATAAAATTACTCTGGTAGAAAGACACAGAAATCTGTATTTTTTTTTTTTCCTTCAGTAGTGGGGTTCAAACTCAGGGCCTACACCTTGATCCATTTCACCAGCCCTTTTCTGTGTTGGGTTTTTTCAAGATAGAGTATCATGATCTATTTGCCCAGCTGGCTTCAAACTTTGGTCCTCTTGATCTCTGACTCCTAAGTAGCTAGGATTACAGGTGTGAGCCACTGGTGCCTAGTAGAAATCTGCATTTTTAATAAGACCCCTGGATAATTTCTTATGCATATAGGAGTGAAATGATCATTTTTTTTAAGCCCATATTTCTCATTAGAGTCATTTGGGGGAGCTCTTAAAAATACTAATGCCTGAGCTAGGGGTATAGCTCAGTGGTTAACCCACATGAAGCCCAGAATTTAATTCTATCACCAAAAAACAAAAACAAAAAACAAACAAAAACCTAACACTTATCCCTTATCCCCAGAAATTCTGATATACTTGACCTGGCATCATTGTAGTTTTAAAATGTACAGTCAGGCTTTACTCTCACAAAAGTAATCAGCAGAAGCTGGTAGTGGGAGGCTGGCAATGGGGTGCCATCTGGACTAGCCCTGGGGAGAGGCATACAGATGACCATAGTGTTTCTCAATCATTTTTGATCACTGCTTTAATGACCTCACTTCTCCTGCAGGGCTGTGCAATAGCCAAGCAGCTGGGTGCAGAAATCTACCTGGAAGGCTCAGCTTTCACCTCGGAGAAGAGTATTCACAGCATCTTTCGAATGGCATCCATGGTGTGTCTGAACAAGCCTAGCCCAGTGCCCCCAAAGAGCCCTGTCCGAAGCCTCTCCAAGAGACTGCTCCACCTCCCCAGTCGCTCCGAACTCATCTCTTCTACTTTCAAGAAGGAAAAGGCCAAAAGCTGTTCCATTATGTGAAGTGGGAATTGGAGGGGGGAGACAACCCCCTACTTCCTCCCTTGGGGTGCAGAGGCACGGGGAGGGGGAGGATGAGACAATTTAGGACACTGGATATGAGTTTTTCAGATGGCCACGGTGAGGGCTTGGAAGGAGACAGTAATGAGATAAGAAGGAGCCAGGCCCGGCATGAGGACCTCACACCCCCCAAGCCAGACGTGCTAGGTTGTGGAGGGGGCAGCTGCCCCAGTGCCTCCCCACTTCAGAGGAAGGAAAGGTGTGGGGGTACGGGGAGCTGGCCTTATGGGCTCAGGGGGCCTATAGGAGCCTCACCTTCAGCATCATGACTCTTCACACAGCGTTCCCATGCAGGCCGGGGGAAAGGAGGGGTCCTTGAGCCCTTCTTTTCCCCACTAAGGAGCATCAGAGGAATGGAGCACGGGGAAGCCAAGAGATAGCTCCTTTGGGAGCTTTGCCCAGGTGCTTCATAACTGAAATCAGGAGGGCAGGGGCTGGTCAGAGCCAATAAGGAAACCTCATCTTTGCATAGCCCATGCGTCACAGGGAACTGACATCATACATTCACATGCTTCTCACCTAAGTCGCCAGGGTTCCAGGGAGAAGCCCCAGATCCCCTTCTCTTGTGGAGTGTAGGGGTGGTGGTGCTGCAGGGGCAGGGCTGGATGAGCGTCAACAGACTTTTCCTGCTCTTAGGGCAGTACAGCTGGCATTTGTTTTATAGACTCTTGTCTTTGGAATTGGGGGGAGGGGGGTGTTTCAATCTGTTATATGTTCCGTGTTTAAAGAAGAAAACCTATTTATTAATGAAAATATAACTCATATAAAGAAGTTGGTTCTGTTGTTGCTCTTCTTGTTTTGTTCTCCGTTTTCTTGGCCACTGATAATCAGGGCTGTTCTTGAGCCCATTCTGTGAATTACAGAGTGGCTGCCTCCATGGTTCTCTAGCACCTCCAACAAGGAACTCCTCCCTCTACCTCCATCCCTACCCCAATCCTACCCAAGTCCCCATAAGCTGAGGAGGTGCTCCTTAGCCCTACAGCAGGGCTTCTCAACCTTAGGGCTATTGGCATTTTGTACTGGAGAATCGCTTTTTATAGGGAGCTCTCCTATGCAGTGTAGGATATTTAGCAGCGTCTCTGGCATCTGGCAGGTGCTAGTTGACAGGAATATCCCATAGTTGTCACAACCAAAAATGTCTCCAGATATTGCTGATTGTCTCCTGAGCAAAATCACTTCCTGTTGAGGCCCATTGCTCTAGAGAGCCTAGAGGAGACAGAAAAGTTGGACGAAGTCATAAATAGGGGATCAAGCTGCTGAGTCCCTCTGCCCACCTGCAGAAGGTGTGTGGATTAAGTCAGGGTGGGGTAAGCTCCTGGGGTTCTGGTGTCTTCTGAGTTCAAGGAGAGGTGACCTCTGTCATTCACTTTCCAATGTTAGTCCTGTTGATGGTAGGGTTTTTTAACTTCCCTTCTCCTCAGTGATTCACTGCTCTTGCTTTCCAAGTTTCGTAGTGTACTTCTAGAAATTAAAAGTTACTGTGGCCTGGCCTGGTGTGGTAGCAGACATCTCTGTAATCTCAGCACTTGGAAGGTGGAGGGAGGAGGATCCTGAGTTCTAAGACAGCCTGAACTACTATCTCAAAAAGGAAAAATAAAAAGTTACTACGCAAAAACAAAAATAAAATAAAATAAGAAAAAGAGGTACTATGCACTTAATATGTGCTCAGCACTGTACTGAAGGCTTTACCTACATTATCTAATTTCATAAATGAGAATAGCTAATATTTGTTACATGTTTGCCATTGAGTAAGGACATTTTTTAGTTATTTATATGTTGTTTCTGTGATAACTCCTTGAGTACTACCTACTTCATTTTACAAACAAAGAATTTGAGGTTCAGAGGGATTAATGTTCCCAAGATCACACGGCTAGAAAGTAACAGAGCATGAATCCAGCCAATCTGGCTTTAGAACATGCACTGTTTAATTTTATTTTCTTTTTTTCAAAGGATCTCACTACATTGCCCAGGTTGGACTCAAACTCCTGGGTTCCACACACTTCTGTGACCAGCAACAGAATTTGCACATTTTTTTTTATGGGACTGGGGTTTGAACTCAGGGCTTCATGCTTGCAAAACAGATGCTATTGCTTGACCCACACCTCAAGTTCATTTTGCTCTGATTGTTTTGGAGATGGGGTCTTGGGAGCCATTTGCTCAGGCTGTGACAATTTCAGCCTCCCAAGTAGCTAGGATATAGGTGTGAACCCCTGGCTAGAATATGTACACTTAACTGCTATCCAACGTGAGATACAAGGAGTATTATTTCTCCTATTTTACAAATGAGGAAAGAGAAAAGTTAGAGATGCTATATAACATGCATAAGATCATACTCCTAGTAAGCAAGTGAGTCAGGATTCAAAGTAATCTCACTGTTAATTATACTCCTATGGACTGCTTACTGCTAGCCATGTTGTACTCAAATAGGAGACCACCTATGGTCCTTATTAAACCAGTCCTTCTGTCACCATCTCCAAGGGTGAATGTGACAGAACTACCAGAGTAAAATAAACAAATAAACAAGCATCCTTTAAGCTCAGTGTTATGCATGTGTTTTGAGAGTTATGCACAAGTACTAGGGAAACACTGTCACTGTGAACTTGGACAAGCTTTGTCACTAATTTCCTTTTTTTTTTTTTGAGACAGGGTCTCACTGTGTAGCCTCTGGTGGCCTTGAACTTTCAACCTGCATGTCTCAGCCTCCTGAGTGCTAGGATTATAGGTGTGAACCACCATTTGTGGAAACAGGGAAAAAGCATGGCTTCTGAAGTTAATTAACCTGGAGTGCAATTCTTTCTTTTAACTATGTGAACTTTGAAGGCATATTAATCCTTCTGGGTTACAATGTCCAGATCAGTAAAATGCGTATAATACTCATGTCATGCTGTTATGAGAACTAAGTAAAATAAAGTAGGTTAAGTGTTCAGCACTTAGAAGATTCTCAATAAGTAGCTGTAGCTGGCAAAGTGGCTCAAGTGGTAGAGTGCCTGCCTAGCAAGCATGAGACCCTGAGTTCAAACCCCAGTGCCACAAAAAAAAAAAAAAAAACCCCAAAAAACAAATAGCTGTAAAGGTTCCAGCTTATCCTTGGTCTGATTCTTAGTTGAGGTTCCATTCTGTGAATGGAGAGCCCTCTACTGTTCACTGTATGAATTACACCCAGCCGATCTCAGACTTCCTTTCTTTCCCTTCAGTTGACTCCAGGCTGGAAGTGAAAAAGCCAAAGGCTGCAGATTTCTAAGAGCAGAGATGTGCGTCTCCTAGGATTGCTTGGGCCAATGAGCGTGATGCTCAGGGTTTTAGTATTAGGGTCTATCCTGAGGTCCTTCTTGAGAACTGAAAGCATGTTCAGAGAGAAAAACGAAGACCTACAGCTATGTGGGATTGAAACAATAAAGTTGAGGACGGTAAAATGAGAAGGAAGGAGGCAGCGGGTATTTCAGTTTTTCTCATCTCGACATAGCAGTTGCAAGTTTTTCGTTTTTGTTTTGTTTTTGAAGGAGGAGGAAAGAATTTTGAACCATAAAATCAGAGGGAAATAAAGTTAGCATGTACTTAAGGGTAAAAAAGCTCCGTAGAGGACTGAAGTAGGGAGACCTAGAAGAAAAAAAGCAAAAATAACAAGAGAGCCCCATCTGGCCAGATCACAAAGGGTATAAAAAAGGAAGCTAGCATTGATAGGAATGTTGAAAAAAAAAAAAAAGGGTTTCACGGTCCATGAGATACCATCCTTCAGGGAGGCCTTCGAAGTCCATTGTGCTGGGTCAGTTTAAACTGTCACAATAAATGGAGTGTTACAGCATTTGCCCTGCTGTAGGACCAGGGTTGCTAAAATATCCTTTCGGAGTAGTCCCACGCAATGAACTATACCACCTTCATTGTGAAATACTAGGCTACTTCTGTAGCCTAAATTTTTAGTTTGTCCAGCTATAAAATGGGGCTAATAATCATCTAACAGAATTTTTATAAAAATGCTTTTCCACAAACAGAAAAGTATTCGTTGCTGTTATTGTACTTATTAGTGGTAATTAAGTGCTATCGTTACGTAAGAAAACCCTTAAATTCCCCTGCTGTAAGCCACAAACTGTGACAGTCATTGCAGTTTCTAGAAGAGAAGCAGATTCCAAAAAGACTGGGCGGCCGGAAAACCACATGCCGGAAGCCCGCCACGGAAAACTCTTGGCGAACTACATTGCCCAGCAGGCCCTGCGACCCTCGCACTAGGCATTCTGGGATTGGTAGTTCTCGGAGGCTTCTCATTGGGCTGAGCCGCGTAGCGTCGGGAACTCGCCTTCCCGGCCTGCCGCGCGACCGGGGTGTACCTCTGCGACAAGGAAACGAGAAAGATGGCGACTGCTCGGCGACGTTGAGGCCGCGTTGGGTGGTTCAGGCTCAGGGTGGTGAGTCCCGGGCGGTGGAGGTGGTTCCCACGATCTTGCGAACAGGCGAGAGTGGGGCAATGGCTGTGGCCTCTGTCTCCGGGACGAGGCGGGGAAGAATGCCTCAGGGAAGGGGCACGAGCTCGGGAAGTTCTGGCGGGCAGTAGTGAAGGGGCGCGGGCCCCAGGGGAAGTGTTGGCTGCCAGGACACAGGCCACGTCCTTGCATGATGTTATGGGCCCAGACCTTTGCCCAGGGGAACAGTACCTGTGATACCTCCAGTCCGGTCTTATTCTTGTTTCGAGGAGCCCTTGCTAAAGTCAAATGGAACTCTGGTTTGCTCCCAGAAGTAGTGCATCGTTTCCCGCCTCTGTATTATTTATTTTCCAGGAAGTTACTTCTGTTCCTCACCCTCAATTACACATCTTCAAATTCTCCCTGTATTTAAAGGCTCAAGAGCCACTTCCTCTGTGGAGCCCTTATACAAATGAAAGGAAACTGCTTTGAACTGTAATACTTCATCTGAGCCTTCGTCTTCCCATGTCTCATGCCTTTTTTGTTCTAAAAGTTAGCTGTGGACAGGCTTTCCTTTTGTAACTCATATAGCGCCTAGCACTAGGCCTTGCATATAGTAGATGCTTGATAAATACTTCATTGAATGGAAAGAATTTGCCTCTGCCCTACAAGAACAGGGACTTGACTTGCCAGAGCCCGCCTGCCTGGTTGTCTAGAACTAAAAGTTGCCTGTATTTACGCTCTTTTTACTCTTTTCTCATTCTTTTCCAAATTAACCCCACTCATGCTTCTATTCATGCTGCCTTAATCTGCCTTGACAGCTCTTGTCAAGGTCATTAATAATTTTTTCCAAACAACATGATCATTTTTCTATCTCCTAGTCTTTCTCCACTTCAGGGGTACTTGATATAGTTGATTGATCCCTCCTTGAGATTTATTTTTGGTTTCTGCTTTGGTATACTTTATAAAAATCTTTTCTCACTGGCTATTGCTTTCCAGCTTTTTTTTTCCTGACTCTTCCTGGGCCAGACTTCTAAATGTTAGAGCTCAATTCTGGATTTCTTCTTTAACTATGCCGCCTATTTAGATAATATTCTTTAGTGCCACATGACTCTTTGACAGCCATTTATATATTGGTGATTCAAATTTTTGTCTCTAGACCTCCTTTTAGTTCCAGATTTGTGTTTCCATCTGCCTTCCTCATGTCTCCACTTGGTTGTCTCATTGACATCTCACCCTCAATCTGACCAAAATGGGACTTTTGGTTTCCTCCTAAATTTGTTCTTCCCTAGTCTTCTCCAGTTGCTTTACTAATGGCACCACAAACTTAAGTATGGTGCCGGTAGATGTAAATGTAATGTGTGCTTAGATGTATGG